TTTGGGCATATCAGATATTTGTGCCAAATTTGTTTCAGTGAATGGAAATACATTCTGCACATCAGGTATTTACATTACAATTCATAGTAGCAAAATTACAGTTATGAAGAAGCAATGAAAATAATTTATGGTTGGGAGTGACCACAACATGAGCAACTGTATTAAGGGGTCGTGGCATTAGAAAGGTTGAGAAACCTTCCTAGTGTGAGAGGGTCCTTGAGTGCATGTGTATCACTTTCTGGCTGCTGTGATGCTAAAAGCAGTGCTATTTCCTCACCCCAGGATCCCCAGCAATTTTGTGCATTGTTGCAACCTCGCATATTAGCACCCACATGGAGGCGCCGTCTCCACAGACGGCGCCTGAGCATGAATGGAGCCTGGCCACAAGCCTGGAGATGCTCCTTGGCTTTGAATGCGAACCAGCCCTCAATGCTCTTATTTTGCTTCCCTGGGAGCCATAAATTTAAATAATGAGTAGCCAGGGTTCGGTTGCATGCCTAGCGACCAGCCTGAGATGCTTATTATCTTCATGGTCTTTTGGCTCTGGCTCTCTCTCCCTCTCTCCATTTTTTGTTGAATCATCATTTTCTGCCTTCATCACTTTCCCTGCAGTTGGGAACAGAGGTGGCAGCCTTTAGCCGCCACTGCTTCTGTTGCTGGAACTATTCTGCATTTTTTTTCTTTTTTTTCAAAAAACCCAAGGCTTCTAAAATGCAGCTTATTTTTAAATCAGTCGTAGTGAGAAGCGAGCAAAGCAGAGTGTTAATTGGGTCCAGTGGAATTCTCATTCCCATGGGGTGGAGGAGTGCTTCTTCCGAAAGAGAGAGGGAGGCTTAGGAGCGGCGGGCGGGTGGCGGAGGAGATAAAATGAATGCAAGCGAGGAACCAGAAAACACACTGAACATCAAGGCTTCTGCATGTGTCAATGCAGTTTTAATTTCTTTTAAGAGATGCTTCTTATCTCTCTCTCCCCCCCCCCTCTATTTTTTTTGTACAGTTTGGAAAACTGTTTAACCCTCTCCGATCAGCAGATCCAGATAATCCGTGCATTTTTTGAACAAATAAAAGCAAGCCAGGGTTGGGTTGGGCGTCTATAATCTCTACAATACCGGCCTCTCTTTTGCAAACTGTGGCCCCCGAGTGCGATTTGCTATGCCTGCCCTTGTCAGCATTGTTCCGAGTCTAATTCCATATGGATGTCACATAGGACTTCTCCATCCCCCTCTCCAACCAATTCAATCCCTTTCCTCCCATCCATCCATTGGTACCCCCCTCCCTACTCTTCTTTCACTCTCGCTCCTCTCATGGGGAGAGCATGGAATTGCAAACTTTTAACAGCCTGCGCATTGTCTGAGTTACCTGCCGAAGATGAGTTTTCACTTAGGGTTTATCCTATCGTCTCCCTCCCACTCTCTTCCCTCTCATTCTCTCTCTCTGTCTCCCTCTATTTATAACACAAAGCTTTCAAAAGAAAACTAAGAGCGGGCCCTTTTCTTTCCTTTTTTTTTTTCTTCCTCCCCCTCGCTTTCCCTTCGTTTCCCTGGCAGCGTGCATCTCTCTCTGCCTGCAGAAGAATGAGGCGAGCTGGCAGCGTGTGTTTCTGGTTGTTGCTTTTGGGAGAACCCGAGAAGACTCTTCAGGGAAAGCGTTTCCATTTGCAGCCAACATCCCCTACTGAGTTTCGGGAGCCTTGTTGTGTGGGACTTATTGTGGCTAAAAGGTGAGAGTTTCTCTAAATGTCCCCTCATCCTATCCTACTGCTTCCGAAATCTGCCTGCATTGTTCTGAGGCTAGCGCTTGCTGGTAATTAGCTGATGAGAGCAAGCAAGAAGGGGGACCGAATTTTTGTTTGCACAGATGAGCTTTGGGATAATCGTACATATTTCTCCTCTGAAGGATGTCCCATGGAATTCTGTGGGATATATTCCTTGGTCGATGGGGTGGCTGCTTAAGTTTCGTAAGTAATCAGTCTTTCAAAGCTTGCTCCAGGTAGTGCCCTTTATACATCCATACATTTTTTTTTCTCAGTGTCACTAGTGGAGATATCCGCAGTGAAGTAGTCACACTGCTGTCCTCCTCCGGATCAAAATCCCAAGGTATAACAAACCCACAACTCTGGGTGGGTTGTGCCTGGTACATTGCATGAGACCTGCCACAGTGCTTTGGAGAAAGAATATTATCTTAGCAAGCCAATAGGTTTTTGGAAAAGAAATGAGCACCAGGCTTCCTGGGCTTTCATCCCTTTTATGGTAAAGCTGAATGTCGTCAATTTGTCAGTCTCCGAAAGGTAAGAATGGCTTATTTCATCAGACTTCTCGTTTTAAGAACTACTCTTTGAATGGGCTGAGAGTTGAGTTTTCACTTTGCTTGGGAGGTGGGAGACATGTTTGCACTGATTTACTTCATCTTGTCTTGCCTCCATTGATGCTTTGGGCAGAACTTATCCGCACTGCTTGAAAACTGTGAGTCTTCAGTATAATGAGTTGTGAGTAAAGAATGCTTCCTGAGAAGATGCCTTTTGTGTCCAGATTGGTGTAAAAAATTGCATAGATGCAGCATGGACAGCATTAATTTTTCAGTGCCTGTGCCTTTAAAAGACATACGCTGTTGTCTGCCAGCACCATTCATCTTGAAGTGGGGTATGCACTGAAAATACAGGCATGCGGACATTATGGGATTTAGGACCTATGTTTTGTATTTAGATGTTTTGGGGTTGTTTTCTAAGCAAGGGGCATGCAGCGCACCCTGTCTGATTTTTTACAGAAGTACAAAATTGTCTTAGGAGGAATCTCTATTGAACAAATACACGTGATCCTCACTCATGAAGACATAACTTCCTTTCTTCGAAAATCCCCAGGAAGTGTATCTGTGGTTCAAGTTTGCAATGGAAGAGGGAGAATAAAATGCCATTTTCAGCACCTGTTCCCCTCCACAGATAAAAAAGAAGCTTGGAGAGTGGGGACAAGGATTGTATTTGGAAAACACTAGGGAGAGGGTTTAATAAACCTTCCCACATTTTCTGTTACAGATTGCAGTTAACCTTCACAACTTCCTTATTTTTTTTTTTCTATTAGAAAAGGTTGATGAAAGGGTGCATCCATGTAAACAAATCACATGTATTTGATCCCCAACAGTATAGATACTATTTGGATATTTTCTTGTCATGAGAATGAAGGGTCTTTGGACATGTTGGGATCCCATCACTTCCATCTTCCATCAATCACTAGGAGACGTGTGTGTGTGTGTTGCCTATATGTGTGTTTTTCATTAGCAGCAGTACCAATCTTTGTTGATTTTGTGCAAAAATATTTTTTTACCCAACATACCAATTGTTTTTGCATAGAAAACTTCATGATTTTGAAATAAAAAGAAAGAAAGAAAAGAAGAACAGGCAACACCACCATAAACCCCACCCAACCCCCCATTGTAATTTTGTCCAATTGGGGCTATATTTTTTTTGTATGCAAGAAGCTAAGATTTACATCTACACCCTTTCCCTTTTTGTACATTGCAAAGTTAGGTATGGGGGGGGGGGGGAGCGGGGAGTAGAGTCGTCATCCCCAACACTTGGTCATGGCACAAGAGATGGTGTCTTGCTTCTCGTTTAATTTTGGTCTGCTTTTTAGCCAATTTCTCTGGTTTTGGTGCCCAAGGGTTGGGGAGTAGGATTGTGTCTATTTGGGGTCAGAAAAAGAGAGGGGCAATTGAGACCTCAAGCTCAACAGGAAAAAAATGGAGGAAATTTGTTTGGAAAAGTGGGTAGTCAAACTGCTAACATATTGGACTACTAATTGCTGCCAACATAAATACTTTTACTATTATAAGTTTTTGCACAGTGAATTTTCTTTTTTTCCACCCTGCCCGATCTTTTGGAATTGAGTCTCACTTGCCTGTGGCAATCAGGCAGTGACTTTATACAAACCATTAAATTTTTTACAAGTTTTATGAGTTTTCCTGAAATTTAGCTTTATTATTGTTACCCACTTAGAAACTTTTAGAATTGAGTGACTAGAAGTGTCTGAAGATAAATAGTGAGGTGTTGTCCACACAGTCTGTGGGGCTGTGTTCCTATTGCATTGTGCATTCATGCTTGTGGAGCTGTTTGATGTCGAAGTGCTAAACCAGGAGTGAAGTCAGAGGGGAGACAGGTGTTATGTTTTCTCTCTACTTATTACACAAGGTCAAAGAGAATTTTTAAAGGGTGTTTTATATGCCATAGCATATTGGCTGTGCGATGGGAGCTTAGAATGAAACTCTTTATGTTCCAATGGGTAGACACAGATGGTCGGTTAGTTCTCATGGCTTTTCCTTTGTGGAAACTTCACAGGCCTGCAATTTTTTTATTGTTGATAGATTCCATTCTTCTTTCTTGAATTTAAGAGAGAGAGATTATTGGTAATTCCCAAAAAGAGTTCAGATAATCCCCATAGGTCACAAGAACGCATAGACTCCTAGAATTGAAAGGACCACCTGGTTGGATCCCCTGCCATGCAGCAATACCCAACCAAAGCATACCTGAAAGATGACAATCCAACATCTGTTTAAAGACTTCCCAAGAAGAGCAGGTGTAAGGCTGCAAAGACTTGTCCTGTCTCTATAGTCACAGCTGGAAGTCATGCCTTGTTCCCCTGCCCCTAAGATCACTGTATGCAATGCACATCACTTGTACATGCATAGCACATAGAGATTCTTATGCAAGGAGGGTGGAAATGGTCTCTGGTAGGATTCTACCTTAGATGGAGAAGGTTTTTAAGTCCCAAGCTTGAGGTGAGCATATCTGAAAGACAGTTGTCTCCCATGTGGGCTTCCCTGGAATAGAAGATCCTTCGTCCAAACCTTACTGAATGTTCTCCCACTCCATGGTACTAGGTCGGGTACATGTTTGTGTAGCTACCTCCTAGTTGCACCCCTTCTGAACTTATATTTTATATTTTAGCAGTGAAGATCATGCTACTTCATTCGAACTTCTCAAAACTGGGGTGGCTGCTATGGCTTTTTTTTTTAAAATGAAGTTTTGGGTGTATTTCTAAATTTGCTTTATGGATCTAGCATTGTGTAGTGCTTTGAACATTGGACTACGATTCTGGAAAACAGGGTTTGAATTCCCTCTCAGCCATGAAAATCCACTGGGTGCCCTTGGGCAAGTTATTTATTTATTTCATATCAAAATCATTGCATAAATTAGTATAAAACTGATAAAAATAGAAGGAGCGCAGGCGGCTAAATATCTTGGGCAAGCTACACACACTTATCCTCAGAAATTCTATGATAAATTCTTAGGGTCGCCATAAGGACACACACAGCAAATTGTTAATTGCTTAGGATTTCTGGTGGGTTTGAGAGGTGATAAATGCCTTAAACAGATAGATTAATACTGTAAAATTAAATATGTATATGTGTAGAGGTCCTTCTGATATGAGTCAGATGTACAGATGAAAATTTATGTTGCAGGCCAAATGTAGATGTAATTGTGGGCACGTCTAATGTACATATCCTTGTATTTTGCTCAGATTTTTTTTCAGATTCTCTTCTTAACTTATTTTTCACTCTTGAATATGTACCATCTGTGAAATATGGACATGATAACATAAGGTTGAAATCTCATTAGTATAAGATCTAACTTTGACAGGCTTTTTCCAGGGAGGTACAGAGTCTGACTGTTCAGTGGATGAAAATTGGGATTGTGTTGAAGTTGATCACTTCTGTGCCATTAATTGGCTGTAGCCAGGTTTTTGATTTCAGGGAACCTGTTTAATCCCCCAATGCTAACAGGCCAGGCTTCGGTTGTGCATTCTGCAAAAATACAGAATGTTTCATCCCCATTAATATTCTGGGACTTCTCAGGGTGAACCAAGAGTTTGTTGCTGCAGTATAAGGAATTTGTTTTCCATATATTCAGGTGTTCAAAAAAGAGCACCAAAGACATATTCAGGTGTTCAAAAAAGAGCATTGTTGCTCTTTTCACATACAGGTTGAGTATTCGTTATCTAAAATCAGGAGTGTCCTGCATTTTTATTTATTTAATTATTTTGGAATACTTGCGTAAACGTAATGAAATATCTTGGAGATACAGGTAAAAGCTAAAGGTAGTCCCCTGACATTAAGTCCAGTCGTGTTCGACTCGGGGGTGTGGTGCTCGTCTCCATTTCTAAGCCGAAGAGCCGGCGTTGTCCATAGACACCTCCAAGGTCATGTGGCTGGCATGACTGCACGGAGCGCAGCCTAAATACAACCCAAGTCTAAATGTGAATTTCATTTATTTTTTATATATGCATTGTCCACGTAGTCTGAAGGCAGGCATGTAGCCGGGGGAGGGGGGGGGCTTGAGGGGCTTCAGCCCCCCCCCGAAATTCTCATGGTGGTCCGCAAAAAGGCCTTACTGGTGCATTATTTAAACTGTTATGTTTATTCATATCATGATCTGATCACCATGCTCAATATATCCCATATGCATGGGGGTATTGGGGTAACGATACAAAAGGTTTGCTAGGGTAGACCCTCTTTCACTCAGACTCAGCCCCCCCCCCACAACCTGTGTTTCAAAAAGGAGAGTTTTTACTATTTGTGTTGTCTAACTGTCCTTTTGGAAACACTATTTTTTTGGAGTTACTGCCCGTGCAATGGTTCGTCATGGATAGGAGAGCTTCTCCTTTTTAGACTGGCACTCTCCATGTGATGAGATTGACAATACAGGGGATGGTGTTGCTATGTTCACTGTAT